AGTAGGAGACCAATAAGTATATTGTGTGTGTACAGAGCACCGCAAGCAACATCGATAGAGGACACTGAGTTACTTGAGGTTTATGCAAGGGTTCCTTTCGAAGTCCCACAGGGTTCTAGTAGTTTGAGACTTCAACATCCCGGAGATCGACTGGGTGGAAGAGCGTGCAACAAGTGGGTCTACAGGTGAATGGATACACTCACACGCGTTGACAAAACACGTTACGCAGGCCACAAACTTCAGGGGTCAACAGAGGCCGTCCATCTTGGACCTAGTCATAACAAGATACGCGTCGAATGTAAGCGAAATGAAACTAGAAGAACCACATGGCAAAAGTGATCCTCTGGTGTTGAGATTCATGCTCATGGAAAAGCACAGGAAGCCAGAAGCCTCATGGTACGATGCTATAATCGTAAAAATGAGGTAGCCTTGCGTGAAGCAGCGGAGCATGTCACCTGGACACCTGAATCCCCGGAGCCCACAGTGGAAGAGAGATGGTATAAGATCCAAGTAAGTATATGTCAACTTATGGACGAGTTTGCTCCGTTACGTCCCAGGAGCGGAAACCACAGGTCATTGTGATGGCGGCCCAAGCTAGAAAGGGCACTTCAAACATGTCGACGATGTTGAGCAAATTATCGAATGTATGGCACTCACCAGGCATGGTGTCAATAAAAGAAGGCTCGTAGTAAGACACAGGCTCTATAACGAGAAGAAAAGTATATCTACGAGAAAAAATTAGCACAGCACACCAAGCATAATCTCAAAAGATTTTATGCCTGCACGTAGGCATTAAAGCCAACAAAAATATACAAGAAAGTGTGGGTAACTTGGAGATGAGTGGAGGTAGCTTAGCCACATCCGACCAAGACAAGCCAATCACCCCTTTAGCTTTCTTCAAGAGTATATACCGTCAACCAGTGCAAACGAATGTTGTGGAGCCCACTGCACCGCGGTTAGATACACCAACTATGGGTTAAATAATCATCCACAAGAGTGATGTAGCCAAAGAACTCGCGTCACTAAATCGAAATAAGGCTGCAGGGCCGGATGGAATACACCTTACTACAGTTCGACTACTAACCGGGCTTCTGGCACATCCGGTTACTATCCTTTTTGAGCGTTCCCTGAGGACGGGAATATAACCACATGACTGGCGGAAGGCAACTGTTGTTGCTCTATACAAGTCAGGACCTAGGCATAAAGTGAGCAACTACCGACCAGTTAGCCTGACATCCGTTCTGTGCAAATGCTTGGAACGGATCATCAGGGGGAAGTATATCAACACCTAACCACCCACAACCTCTTGGCACCAGCGCAGCATGAGTTTACCAAGAGAAAATCGTGCCTGATTACCTGCTCACCTTTTTGAATCAGGTTACTAAGAGGCTGGATGAAGGTCAGCAGGTCCAGGTCTACTACCTCAACTTCTGCAAGGTCTTTGATTCAGTCAGCCATAAGATGCTAGACCTCAAGCTACAAGATACAGGATTTCATGGGGCAGCGAGAAATTGGGTAGTGCAGTTCCTCAGTCATAGCACGTTCTGTGTGAAGGTTGGCGACTATCTGAGCGAACCTGCAAGAGTAACAAACGGGGAGCCTTAAGGATCAGTTCTAGGATCATTACTGTTTTTCATTTACATCAAAGACTTGACACGGGTTCTCCAAAATCCCTGTTTCATGTTCATGGACGATGTGAAATTAGGTAAATCAAATCTTGAAGGCGATGTAGAAGCGGTAAGACAATGGTCGATTCAGTGGGAGTTACCATTAAATCTCGAAAAGTGCCAGCTCTTAACAAGAGCAGTCACCGTTCGAGACGAGCAGCTGGCAATGCAGCTCACGGAGGTAGTTAAATACTAAGGGGTCATTCTCACGAAGAGTTTCAAAACTGAAACGCAATTTCTGAAAACAGCCAATAACGCTCGTGGTGAGCTCTTCAGGCGGTTTGCTGCCCTTACATGTAGCAACACAGAGGCCTTTATACTTATCTATAAGGCAGTTGTTCGTCCTTACTTAGAATACTGTGTTCAGTCATAGGCACCAAACTATAGAAAGGATATAGCGTGCCTGGAGAAGGTGCAACGACTTGCTACCCGAATGGTAGCTGGGCAAAAGGGAAAAAGCTGTGAACAGCGATTGAGAGACCTAAATCTTTTTTCTCTGGAAAGTAGAAGGCTGCGAGGAGACCAGATAGATACCTTTAAAATAATCAGAGAGCTATCAGGACTCCATGCAGATGACTTGTTTACGGCTTCTCGTGCTCAAACCACAAGGGTTCATAGCTTTAAGCTCCAACAGAACCGTGCTAGGTTAGAGGTTCGAGCCAACTTCTTCGCACATAGGGTCATACCAATGTGGAACAGGTTACCCGGGGAGAGGTAAACTGCACCAATGTGCCCAATTTCAAGGCGGCACTGGATGTGTATTGGCCGGAAATGTTCCTTGAGGTTAGGTGATAATGTATCGTCACTGAGAGCCGGGTAAATTACAACCCCTGAACAATGGAATCGGGCCTTTTAATTGCACTTGAAACTGGTATGTTTCAGAAAACTAAGGCCTTTCACCGACGAGGCGAGAGGACATCTCTTCTGTTTTCTCTTTTCCAGCTCGTCTGAAAGAACCTGTCTAAGGAAACTCAGACAGCGCAGTGTTAGAAGCCAAGAACACCCGTCGACAACACAATAATCTGGACGCTCGACTAACAAGGGTCATTATACGTCCTGTGAAGACTGGACTGGACTAGACTGGAGTTAACGTTCTGGCAACGGGGCTAAAATTGAGAGGACCACAAACACCTAATCAACTGTACGCAGTGTTGGAAGCCATTCAGTTCAGTTCATTTCGGTTCCAGGACGTTGACGTAGGTGTGCTAATTAGTCCAGTTTCTTGCAGCGGTGGGCTCCAGGGATCCCCGATGCTGCAACAGATGGAAGAGGGAGATGATGCCGAAGTTTCAGTCGCGAAAAAAGTAAAAATGAATGTAGATGCTCCGGCTTTGATTAAGGGTGTAGGTTTGAAAACGCCAAACCCGGACCCTAAAGCCAAAACGAGTCATCAGCCGAAGCACTGTGGCGTAGAGAAAAAGCCTCAGGTTGCTGAAACAAGAATACAAAGGAAAAGAGTAAACAATGACCGTGCAGGCACACTTAGAGCCCTGGGAGTGCGGTTGCGCGAAGTCAAGACGCACCTAGAGTTCTTGAGAAGAAAGGCAAATGTAGCGGAATTTAGACAAAGGACGGTCTTGATCTTGAACGGTGAAGAAGCGTTCATAAAAGAATCTAAGGATCGTCGATAAATGGACCGGCGAAGAGTTCAGAGTGTCCTACAGGCAGCTGGTATGCCACCCGTTAAAATAAGGAGGATACATAGGGTGGGCATCTGAGAGAACCCGGAACCAGCGGGATTTCGCAGGGTCAGACCCCTACTCGTTGAGTTTGTGGAGCCAACTTGTAGAGACAAACCGCTTGCAAACTCTCAGAGAAGTTTTGGATGCTACCTGTTGGAGGTATAAAGTAGTGCCTGACATCCCCAGGAGTCCGAACGTTCTGCAGCCAAACGGCAACGTATGGCCGGTTGAGCGGAAGCCATTGAACCTCCAACTTAAGAAACAGAGCCCATCGCAGATAGGGATAGGTAGACTATCCCCTGTCGTAGTCATAGAGGATGTCTTAGAAAACGAGCATCGGAAAAGTTGCGTAAAGCCGGAGTCGGAGGTGAGTAAGGACACGGATAGATCCGTAGATGNACGCCGAAGTTTCAGCCGTGAAAAATGTAAAAGCGAATGTAGATGCTCCGGCTTTCATTAAGGGTGTTGGTCTGAAACGCCGAACCCAGACACTAAAGCCAAAACTAGTCATCAGCTGAAGCACCGTGGCGTAGAGAAAAAGCCTCAGGTTGCTGAATCAGGAATACAAAGGAACCGAGTATAGGACGACCGCGCAGGCACACTCAAATCCGTTAGCATAAGGAGGATACATAGGGTGGGCATATGGAAGAACCCAGAATCAGCGGGCTTTCGCAGGGTCAGACCCCTACTTGTTGAGTTCGTGGAGCCAACTTGTAGAGATAAACTGCTCGCAAACTCCCAGAGAATTTCGGATGCTACCTGTGGGAGGTATAAAGTAGTGCCTGACATCTCCAGGAATCAGAACACATGGAAACCAAACGGCTACGTATGGCCGGTTGAACGGAAGCCATTGAACCTCCAACCTAGGCAACAGAGTCTATCGCAGATAGGGATGGGTACACTGTCCCCTGTCGTAGTCATAGAGGATGTCTTAGAAAACGGGCGGTGGCGAAGTTGCGT